TTAAGACGGTCAAGGGTACCATCAGCTCGAGTTTTAGGGGTTAAGACCTACTTACACCCAATAGCCTTCTTCTCTGCCGGTAGATCCACTAAGGTCCAAGTGCTAGCTCGGTCAAGGGCCGCCATCTCCTCTTCCATAGCAGCACGTCAACCCGGGTGGGCTAAAGCTTCATGAAGGGTCTCAGGTACGGAAATAGGATCTAAAAAAGAGACAAAGGCACGAGAAGCAGGGGAAAGGTGGTTAAAAGAAACAAATGAGGAAATAGGATGGGCGCAAGTGCGTTTATCTTTGTGAAGAGCAATGGGCAAGTCAAGTGAAGGGTCTGGATCAGGAACACGAGGTGTCTCGGAGTCAGAGATAGGTGTAGGATCAGGATGAGAGATGCTTAACACAGGATCTGATGACAAATCAGACAATGGAGGGCTGGAATTTGGGACAGTGACATTGGTCTCCTTGGAACATCTTGTGTAGACACGAGATAGGGGTGGTGGCATAGGTGCCTGAGCAAGAGCTAGAGCCGGAGGTGGTGGAGTGGGTGGCGGGAGAACAAGGTACACCAGAAGGTCATCCTCTTTCACAAATAGAGGAGGGACAAGTGAAATGGATGGAGAAAAATATGGAATCGATTCCTGAAAGGCATGGAAGAAAAAACTAAACCGGACCGGCTGATTCAACTAGGAAACCGGTGAACCGGTCTAGTGTTCAGTCTGGTTTACTAGGTGAATTGGGTATTGTTCAAACCGGTATTGAATCGATTAAATCAGTCAAAACCAGTGTTAAACCGGATAAACTGTAGGTTAGAGTGGGTCAGCCGGTTTAGTGATTTAGCCCCTCCTTCTGGAGTAAAACAACGTCGCTTTGTCGTTTAAAAAAAAAAAGAAAAACCCAAATCTGCTCGATCTGTAATATGATCTCGAGAAAGAAATGAAAAGAAGAAAAGAAAATCCATATTTGTTTGCCTGTCCGTCGATTCTATGCTCAGTCTTCTAATCGAACTTCACTGGTGCTTGTGGTCGTTGTTTTCACTCTTTGTTTCTTGCTCCATCGCCGTCTCTTATTGCATGGCTGTTGTGCTGGATCTTCATCTCAGTATTTCTCTTGCAAGACGCAGCTCGTGTTGTTGGAAGGAAAGGAAAAAGAAAGGGAAGAAAAAACCTTGTGCTGGTTGAAAGTAACGTGAAAGAGTAAGGAGAGGGGAGTCTTAGGTCAGGGGAAAATGATAAGAGATTCTGCAAAAGTGCAGAGAGAGAAAAATGAAAGTCAAATTAGGCATATGACATGATTTGATAGATCAACGTGGAAGGGGAGAGGATGGGAAAAAAGGAAAGCCTTTCACGTGCTTATGCAGGAAAAAAAGAGAGAGAATGAGAAATAAAAGTAAAAATGTAAACTTGTTAAGAGAAAAAATAGAACTAATAGGTAAAATTTAATGGGCTATGAGTTTATGAAAAAGGGAGAGAATAAAGAGGGAAAAAAAAGAAAATAGAAAGATTAAATAGTATTTTTTTATAATTAGAATAAGAATTTTTTTTACATATTTTAATTAAATTACATTATTTTAGTTATTACGGTTTAACTCGGTCTGACCTTGATTTGACCAACTAATCCTTGAACTAGTACATCAACCGGTTTATTGACCGGTCTGGTTTTTTGTTCTTTGCTAAAAGGTGACATTTCCATAAACTAGAGAACGATTAAGAGTAGGAGAGAAACACCGATAACCCTTTTGAACCCGAGAGTATCCAAGAAAGACACATTTAAGAAACTTCGGATCTAATTTGGAGACAGATGGTTGTACATCCCAGACAAAGCAAACACACCCGCAGATCCTGGGATCAACAGGAAACAAAGGTTTTGAAGGGAAAAGAGTAGCATAGGGAATGTTACCATCAAGAACTGAAGAAGGCATGCGGTTAATGAGGAAGCAAGCAGTGGAGACAGTATCAGCACAGAAAGTTTTAGGAACCTTCATTTGAAACAGAAGTGCTCGTGCCACCTCTAGTAAGTGGTGATTTTTACGTTCCACATTTTGAGCTGGTGTATCAACACAAGAAGATTAACGAAGGACACTATTTTGAAGCATATAGGATTGAAACATGGTAGAAAAATATTTTTTAGTGTTGTCATTTTGTAAGGTGTGAATGGAAGTATGAAATTGAGTTTTAAGTTTTGCAAAAAAGGCACAAAAATGAGAGAATAATTCAGAATGACTTTTCATTAAATATAACCAAGTTGTATAGGAATAATCATCAACAAATGTAAACAAAATATTTGAAACCCACTGTTGACTCAATAGGACACGAACCCCAAACATCAGAATGAACTAGCTCAAAAGGAGACAAAGCCTGTTTATTGACTCGAGAAACTAAGGGAAGACGATGATGTTTGACAAACTGACATGACCACAATATAAAGATGACAAATGTTGAAACTGAGGATAAAATTTTTTTTAAAGAAGACAAAGACAAATGACTCAAACGACAATGTGCTTCAAAAGGAGTGAGACCACCGGCACAAGCCACAGCACGAAACCCTTGCTTGTCAAAGAAATAATGTCCACCAGATTCATAGCCCCTACCAATAATCTTCTTCGTCAAAAGATCTTGTATCAAGCAATGATTAGGAAAGAGTGAGATCCAACAGTTTAATTGACGAGTAAGTTTACTAAGGGAAAACAGGTTAAATGCAAGGTCAGGCACATCTAACACACATGACAAATGAATGGAGGGGGTAGGTTTAACGATGCTCGATCCGAGGACCCGTGAATGGGAGCCATTGGCAATAGTGATAGTTGAAGGATTGGCGTAAGAATTATAAGTGGAGAAGAGATGGTGGTTACCTATCATATGGTTAGTAGCACCAGAATCTATGATCTATTTGGAGGAAGAAGAGACAAGAGCAGTAGCCTCATTACTTGTAGCAACGAAAGCATTCATGGGTGTTGCAATAGATTTTAATTGAGTATATTTAGTAGCAGAGATTTTGATTTTGTCATCGGCCAGCGTTGCCACATGGGTAGAGTTATTACGTTGTTGTTTGTTTTGCAGCTTGCGACAAGTACGTTTTGTATAGCCAGGTTCTTTACAGTAGTAACATATCACCCTACTTGTATCTAGAGTAGCTCCCCCTTGCTTGGAACCGCCACGGTTATTCATTACATGACTATCATTTGGGCCTCGACTGATGAGACCACTGACAGGAGCAGTCGGAACTGGTGATGAAAGGTTCTCAGTCCTTATCACACGAGAAAACACCTCCTAAAGAGTAGGAATCTTAGATCCAGATAAAATCTGAGAGCGAACAATCTCATACTCAGGTGGGAGCCCAGTGAGAAAACTCATGATGGCCACGTGCTCTCGTTGGGCCTGTTGAGCCTTTAGATCAGAAGTAAGGGGCATTAGGACATTCAGTTCTTCATACATTCATTTAAAATCCATGAAGTAAGTCTTGAGAGGACGATCTTGCTTCTCTACGCGATAAAAAGCTTTACAAACCTCATAGACTCGAGAAATATTTTCCTTGCTTGAGTATAAAAATTCTAAATAATTCATCAATTCTTTAACAAATTCACAATGAGTAATAGAAGGAATAATCTCACTGTCAATGGAGTTGCAGATCTGTAAGAAGAGCCGTGCATCATCCCTTAACTATGATTGACGAGAGTCAGTGGCTGGACGGTCTTCAGTTAAATGATTCTCCTTCTCAATGCTTCATAAGTAGATACGAATAGTCTTACTCCAATTCATATAATTTGTCCAGTTTAATTTATGTTCAGTAATCTTAACGACCACTAGTACCACTTCAGAGGTAACTGCACACTTAGTATCACCCATGAGAGATGAACAGAAAAGAAATAATAATTCTAACGGTGGGAAGAAGGAATAAGTAGCCACAAATGATCACACCAGGGACCAAACAACACCGCCTACAGTCTGTAGAAGGTAGTAGCAATAACACTAGATCTGAAACGCTACTGTTCAGAGACCAAACAGAAGCCAAATAGCAAACCTAGCTGAACAGAAGCCAAAATCCACTCAAAGAGGAAGACCCAGATCCGAAACACACTAGGGATGGATCGAAAATGAAGAGGTGAATTCAAGGAAGAATTTTGACGTCGAAAAGTGGCTAGCGTTGACAGCACGTGACACTCACGGGCTCTGACAGTGATGGCTCGTGACACTCACACACTTCGTGGATGGTGACAAAATTCCGTTGACTGGTCGGTCAGGACCTTGCAACTCTCCCTGGCCGGCGTGTGCTCCCACCTGAGACCAGAAACAGGAGCCCTAACAACGAGCACAAAGCTGATGCAAAACAGAGACATAGCGCAACTAGTTTTCAGAGAAAACAGAACCGAAGGGATCCTAAAAAGTCTACTTTGATACCATATTAATTAGAGAATCATATGGAATATGTTTCTAGTTTATTCATGATTAGAAAGAGGGAATATATACACAAGAGAGGAGCTCTAAGCATTAATAGCTCATTATTAGGAGATAATATCCTATTATATCTAATTTGATCCTATACTAATTATAATATATCTACATATCTTTACAATATTTAAATCTCACGTTTGCAAAACTTTTTAGTTTTTCAAGCAAAATCGAAAATACCATGTCAGAGAACAAAATCAAAATTGAAAGTAGAAATTCGTATTGGGCAAGGTTATGGGAAAACAATGATACTAGGCATGGCTTGCTAGTTGCTCATCTACTGCTACTGCAATGTGTTTGTCTGGCATCCCTTATATAAACACTATTTTTTCATACATATCTCATCTTCTGCAAATCACGATTAAAAAAACTGATCCAAAACTATATTTGCTAATGTGAAAATATCATTCCAAGTTTTCAGTCTAGTTTTGTTTTCAATCCGTGCAAAATTTATTTGCTCCATTGAAAATGTTACCGATGAGGTGAAAGGTGCCTGGACCTTTTGCATCTAAAGACCTGCGACACTTCACCATGTCAAAAGAGTATCACACGAACAACAAAAAATACGTATGAGGGACAATTCCCTTATTTACTATCTGCCATCTCTTAAAAATCTCTGACATCTCCAAAATACTCCCTAAATTGAAAGAATCTGAACTCCGTCTTATCCCTGCAACATTTTTTAGCATACAAAAATAAGCCGGTCGGCATTTAAGTCTGCAGGCACCGGCACAACCTTAATAAAGCCGGAGAACATAATTATAATTGCCAGGCAACATTCACCCCTGCCTCATTTTGGAGCCAATATTCATTCTTTTTTTTTTTTTTTGGGGGGGGGGATTCGTGGGGTGAAACAAACTAAAAAATGATCATCTTCCTCGAATGGAAGTGATTCCCAAAGCAGTTACAATCAAGATGGGGCAGATTTCAAATGCTCTCACTCAAGATTCCCGAGGTCATGATATTCTTGAGATACGGTGATAATGCCATGCCACAGTCGCTAGTGAATTTGCCATCAATTTCCCAACCATGGACCTACCTTGATCCTCACTAAGAACGCAGAACAACGTGCAATTCGATATGGGAGCAAGAAATTCGCTTGCCTTGATCATCGCCTGCGGACCAGCATGCAAAAGCATTTTAGGAGAAAAAAAAAAAAACAATGAAAATAACAGTTTCCCCTCTAAAAGATCACCTATAGTATGCTATAGCAATTCCTAAATATTATCAATCCACCTCCAAACTTTTGATCAATAATCTCTAACTATCACTATTCTTAGGCATCAAATTAGTGAATCAAATTCTGCGCAAGTCCAAACGGTACAGTTATCACTGCCCAAACATTCCATTAAATGATAAAGAATACAAAGATATGAAGCACAAACTGAAAGTGTTTCACATGTTGCATCGTCATTCTTTATCTATTCTACTTTGTTTTCACAATTGTTTAAAATATAAACTCCATTGATTTGTTAAATTTCTGCAGTACAAATTGTCCTACATAGTGTGCTTGTATTAAGGACAGGAAGAGTAGATGACAAGAATAAAGAAACAATTTAATCCCTTCTGGTGAATCAAATCTATTCTTCCTAACAGAAGTCCAAATAAAAATCTTCTATAAGCTTTAAACTCTTGATCACTATGACATCACAAATGATCGTTAGATGTCTAAGGCAAACAAAATACAACATTATTTTTGAATGCTTACCTGGAAAACCGCCTATTGCCAGCAACATCTCTGTCTCTCTGGCCCTTCGGTTGTAGCAAAGCCCTCTCCCTCTCCTTCTCTCGCTTCTCTCTTTTCAGCCTTTCTTCCCTCAACTCTTCCAATGTTTTCTTCCCACTCCTCTTTTTCTCATCCTTCGGGTGACCATCATCTGAGCCGCTATCACCATTAGCATCACCGTTAGGTTTTTGGAGATACCAAGGAAGCTTAACCCCCTTCCCTGCAACCCCATAACCCAACCTATATTTCTCATCATCTGGAGTCACAATCTTGGGCTTCGCATCCTCTTTCTTCATCTTCTTCTTTTTGGACCCATCTCTTTCTACTGCACCGTCATCTTCTAACCCTTTAATTGGGTCAAAAATCTTAATTCCTTCAAAAAGATTAATGTGACCAGATTTTGGCTCTGATTCACCAGGTTCCACAGGTTCAGGTTCAGGTTCAGGTTCCTGAGGTTTTATTAGTGGAGCCAAACCTCGAGCAGCTCGCAGCCGCTCCAGACGAAACTCAGCGTCCCTTTTTCTCGCCTGCTCACGTTTCAGCTGTTCTTCTCTTGCTGCTTCCTCTTCATCGCGCCGTACTTTCTCCCTGTTCTCGTAATTGTACACATTCCAGCGCTTCTGGGGAAGGATATTCAGACCTCCATGACCTCCCATAATCAATTATATACCAAAACCAACTGCACATAAAAACGCGTACCTTAGACGGAAGAAGGGAAAGTTGAAATTCGGAAGCCACAGGCAAAATTCATCGAAGGTATTAAGCAAAAATATAAAGATGAATCAATCATATTCAATTTCAGAAATTACAGTTCCCGTATCCTCAGAGAAATAATATCAATCTAGCTATAATTGATTCAAAAGTCGTACTCAAGACAGATAAGAAGGGAGAAACCTACTTCCAGAATTTGCGTGAGAAATAATCGAACCTAACCAATGAAGTACCTGAGAGGCGCAGATAGGGATTAGCTTGAAGAAGATTGTGATCACTGCTGCCAGATAATACCGATATAGCCAAGTCCGATTTATCGATCTTCTTCTGTTGCTTTTGCCTTTAACAATTTCTCGAGTCGTGTATTCCCTGCACGCTCTTGGATGGCCAAAAAGTCATGGTAAAAATAAAGATCTTATTTTATATGAGGGAAAAAAATTTTCTGTTCCTAATATTTTTAATTATTAATTATATCATTAGTTCGAAAATGATGCAGGAAAAATGTAAACATTTTTCTCAGAAAAAAATAATACTCAGTTTAAAACTTGTACATGCTGATAAAACAACGTTATTTGTTTCACGTCCTTTTCCTTGCACCATTTTAAAACTATTTTTTTTTTTTGACCGGAGAACCATTTTAAAACTATAAAAACTACTTTTATGTGTTTATGAAAGTAAGGGATTTAATAAATAATGAACAAAACCACAACGACCAAATCAATAATTGAGCAGAAATCTATGGGGTGTTGGCGAAAAAAAAGAGAAGAAAAAGAAATTTATGGAATAATCATTTTTCTTTATATATATTCGTTTGATAAAAATATTTGATCGGAATGAAATACATTGCTATCTTTAAGGACTTTTTATTAAAACTATATGATGTTTTTATTGAAATATTTGGATAAAAATTTATTTATTCATCTTTTTAACATTACAAAATGAATTTAATTATTTTAAGTATGTTATTGTCTTATTCTAATAATTTATATTTGTGTTAATCTATCAATAATAATTTTTTAAAATTTTTTGAAAGTCATAATGATGTTTTAATAAAAAAATGAAAAAAATTTCATCATTGGAAAGGTATGCTATAATCTCATTGCTAAGAAGAGCTGGCTATATGTATCCTTATCTGCTCACATCTTGTTTTTTTTTTTCTTTTAAATACATCATAGATAAATTTTCCATAATATTTTTTCATATAAAGGATTTAAATTCCTCTAATATGTCATAGAGACTGAGTTCCCATACCAAAGAATTTTATTAAGTAAAGCCTTATTAACAACTCATATAATCAAACCATCTTAGGACCTCAATCTTTTAATATTAGAACTAATACTTCTAATCACCTATATAAAGAAGATTACTTCAATAGATCTTGATTAAATTCTTTCTGACATATAGGATCCTTTGAGGAAGACAAGTGTAAATCATGCTGGAATCTTTTAAAAACAAAAGTAAGATACTATAGACTCAAATTTTTAGGAGGAAGAAAAGCTCTGAGAGAGAATTCATAGAAGCACATTAAATATTATTGATAAAGGATTCTGTTCTGATTTTCACAATTGATGAAGCCTGGATTTATATTTCTTTGGCTTTAGATGCAAACAAGTAACTTCATACAACCCAACTCGCCAAAACATAAAATAGAACAAACTATGACCCTCGAAACATAAGGCAGGACAAGCATTCTTTATAAAAGCTAACTTAAGTCAAAGGCTTATTAGGGGGTGTTTGGATAAGCCCAAACTATGGTTTGGAGAATACCTTCTGGAGAATAGATTATGTGACGAATAGATTTTGAAAGAATAGATTTTCTGAAAAAGTGATTCTGATAAAGTAAGAGTGTTTGGATAGTTGTTGTTAGAAGTGCTTTTTTATATGTAAAAATTACTAAAAAGGACATAAATTTAAATGATAATTACATATAAAATATATTTCATAATATATGTTTATTTGAAGTAATAATTTTTTTAATAATATATATTTTGATAACATAATAAATAAGACATAAATAATATGAATAATAAATAATTAATGTGTATATATATTTATAAAATAATTACAATATTTTTAGGAAAATGATTTATTTTGCTAATAAAAAATATTATTATTTATTAAAGAGTTTAAACATGAATATTATTTTGCCAATAAAAATATTATTATTTATTAAAGTACTCCCAAGCTTCGAGCTTTCCCTACTTCCTTCCTTATCCCCTTCTATTCATCTTTCCTATCTTTACAGCTTTGTTGCACTTTGTGCTTGTCTGTTTCTTCTGATTTCTTGCAGTGAAGTCGCTCTATTTGATAAACAACAAAAAACAAAGTCACTCTGCCTCCTTCGTTGAACCCTCACAGCATACTGCTGGCAACGATAATGGACTACACACTGCCTCCGTTTGACGACAGCTTCACTGCTGAGAAGCTATTCTGCCAAGGTTACTCCTACACTTACGATGACGTCATTTTCCTCCCTCATTACATTGACTTCCCTACTGATGCCGTTCAGCTTGCTACCAGAGTTAGTCATAATGTGCCTCTAAATATCCCCTGTGTTGCTTCTCCGATGGACACTGTCTCCGAAGCTCACATGGTCGTCGCCATGGCTGCCCTTGGTGGTATCGCTTTTATCCACTCTAATACGACGCCGTCCGATCAGGCTGCCATGGTACGTTTCGCTAAGTCGCGCCGAGTGCCGATTCTCTCCAGCCCTGTCTTCAAAGCACCTTATGGGAGGATTGAGTCGTTGGATGATTCTGGTGACTCACCAACAGCACAGCACGAATGGGAGAAGAGGTGACGGCACAGGACAAGAGAAATCTTCAGAAGGAGCGACGGAATGGGAGAAGAGAAATGAGAGAAGAGGCCTTCGTTGAGTGGGAGCTACTGATAGGAGTAATAATTACTCCAACGACTATTTGTTACTCCTCAGAAGCTACCCCCGCGTGCTTGTCCCAAACCAAGGTTTTGCCAGAAACCTTGGTTTTAAAAAAAAAAAAAGGGGTGTTTGGCAAATTTTTTGCCAAACCATGGTTTGGCAAAAGAGCCAAACACCCCCTTAGCCTAATAGCATCCAGGTGCGCCTTGGGATTTAAGTTAGCTTTTATAAAAGCTGAATTAAAGCATAAAGCAAAAGTTAATTTATTAAAACACAATTTTGATTTGTTTGAAAGCGCTTTATGCAAGTGCTTTTCGGGTTACCAAACACTATCCTTGACGAACCTTGGTTTTTATTCAAGATGGAGATTAATAATTAGTTTTTATTCAAGATAGAGATTACTAAGAAAGCTAGAAATTGTTCTATTTTTGTATGGTTCTTAAGAATCGATGAAATTCAGAGTTTATTAAAAAACAATTGTTATTGAAGATCAAGCAATAGATAGCCAGAGCAATGCTTGATTACTTCAAAACAAAACTTGATCTACTAGGCCCATCAATTAAATAGGAAAGAACTCCCTGCCCGGAGAGATACTTATATTTAGTGATCAACAGTATTTTAAATAATATATCCAATAGAAAGATACCTGTGTCTAGCGGAAAAAAAAGGGGGGAAAAAAGTGGAAGAACTCAACCGCATTATTTGACAACCTATAAACAAACATGCAACTTCTTCCAACTATATGATCTTTTTACCCTCCTCACAAACATTTAAAATATAAGACGCAACAGGCACGACCCCATGCCATGATGTTGTGTACATCTGATGAGAAACTTCATACCACAAATTAGAAAAAAAATAGTGTATCAATCATCAAAAAATGAAGTCATTAAGTTGAGTATATTTGCTCTTATGTCCATTCTTCCTGATGATGTATGCACTTTCTTCCGTGTCTGCATTCAAACAATTCATCCTGTGCCTGTTCATAAGGAAGAGTTATTTGATGAGGCCAAAACCACCCACCATTTGACACTTCGACATGCTCTAAGAGAACGTCTGATTTCACGTAGGAAATCACTAAAATCATGGTTTTGACGGAAGCAGCCGGTTAGCTGCTTTCGCCAAAACTGTGGTTTTAGTGATTTTCAACGTAAAACGAAAGAGTGCCAAGACAAAAATATAATAGTCAACAAGAATTGTAAAAACATTTTACCAGGCGAAGTGGTCTTCACAGCATATAGAACCCCATATAATTGCAAGACCAGCTCCTTTCCTGCATTCACAGGAAATTAACACAACAGAAGAAAGGGCATGGATAGTTCTCATCAAGCATAATATGGTAAAGCATCCAATGAGAACTTTGGGTAACTGCATGCTTCAGTAGAAGATGGGGATTGGAAAATGATGACGTTGAGATCACATACCAAGCTGCAGTATACATGTCGTAGAATTTTTCAAAGGCTTTACTGAAGCAGTAGTGGCAAACCAACAGATCCTTAATGCAAGTCACCTTGCAAGTTGACTTGCAACATTTTACCTACATTGAATACAGATTTGAACAAACATGTATTGGTACAGTATTCCACCCACCAGGATTATAGTCAAAAATTGCCTCTAAAGCATTCGTAACTGACGTTACCTCAATGGACAACACCATAGTTCATACATATTACATGACACGTTAAAAGTAAACACACATATAAGGTCAGGAATTAGTCAAAAAGAATGGTCAAGAAAAAGGAGAAACTTACTAGACGTTTAAGCTTGTGTGAGTAAAACTGCTGATGAGATGGGTGTGTTCGTATATGCTCATCCAAGTGTCCTGCACTGGAAAATAGGAATCTCAGAATCACCTGGATTGTTGAGACACAAACTAGCTAACACACACACACACACACAAAAGGTTGGAAAGATGTTGGGGGAACGAAAATTGATTACATCCGTGTGACTTTTCTTCCCACAGTAATTTTCTCAAGTATGACTAACTGAAGCAGATTCTGAGAAAAGCGAGAAAAACTATGTAAACCGGAGAATTGAAGTTCCATGAGCTAGGGTGTGCAGTACTATTTGGCATCCCACCTGCTCTGATGCAAGCCATATTTGCTCCAACTATCTCAATGCTACAGGGAATTAATTTCAAGAGGAGATCACGATAGCCATTTGCTTTCCAAAGAGATGTTTTAAGATTTACAAAATTCTCAGAACACCAGTGTTCAACAGACTGGAAACTAAAACGCCTTCCATTTCCCCCATAAAGCCCCTCACAAAATATCTATCAACAGCCCTAGTTATCCTCCTATTAAGCATGAAAACAACCATGCTATCACAGAAAAGGGACAATAGATCCCTCTCTCTTCTCTTTTTCTCTTCCCATGAAACCAGGACGTCGGCTCTCCATTTACTAACTCAGAAAAGGTTGCCCCCAAACCCCCCGGGGGGGGGGGGACTGGGTTCCAATTTTACTCCAA